AATCATGGAATATGGCTGCGTAATTTTGTCACTGGGCTGCGTATTGTGGACAATATAGAAAGACCATTTAAGATATTTTGTGATAATAAATCAGCAGTGCTGTATTCCAATAACAGAGCTCGACAAAGTCAAAACACATAGAGATCAAGTTCCTTGTTATTAAAGAAAGAGTTCAGAGTGGACAGATGTCAATAGAGTATATTGGGACAAACTCCATGATTGCGGATCCGCTTACCAAGGGATTGATACCCAAGGTCTTTCATGAGCACACTGCTCATATGGGTGTAATGTCTCTTGAGGATATCTAGTTTCAGTGGGAGTTTGCATTTTTGCTTTTCATATTGGACACCTGTACTGTTATTTTGGATACAGTTTAAAGTTAAAGTTATTTTCAATTATAAAGTTATTTGGTTAATTATCTCTGAACTTGTTTAAAATGATCTCACTAAGGTATTAAGGTGGACCAGTTGGAAATAGGCATGTTACAGATCACATTACATGTACTTTCCATGCTACACATCCATACTTGATCTATGTCATTCGGTTATATTGATATACGTGACCATTGATGGGTTTAGCTACGTGAAAGTAGCGAAAGCCGCTTTGATCCTATGTTGATATGATTGATGGACGAGTTTGTTTGGGGATACATTCGGTAATGATAGCAAAATTCTGAGTACTCATAAGGTTATTTTAATGCACAATTATAAGGTGACACATATAACCCAAGTGGGAGATTGTAAGGATTTTTAATTAAAGATGGGCTTGTATGTGTGAATAATTGTGTGTTAAATTATAGGCTATCGAATTCGGTTGAGCCCAATTAAAGTGATCTAATAAAGTTTTGATTTTGGGCTTTAATGTATCTAATTAAAGTATGGGTTTACATATGTGTAGAGACCGGGTCCAAGTCCTAATTCTATGATGGGTAGAATTAGGTCAAAGGGCATCCTCATATAAATAGGTTATGATCCCCAGATCACACGCAACGAATTATTCATTCCCTACTGCATTCCATCACAGAGAGGAAAAGGAGACTGCGTGTAGATTTGGAAGATCATACCGCGAAATTCATATTGCATTAACCATGTTAGATTCAGGTATGCTTCCGCTTTAATTCTTATATTTCTCGATAATTTAACATGAAAGATCCAGTAATTTAAAGTATTAAATTATCTAACACTTGAATGTTGTGAGTTTGGAAAATTTTACTCAATAAGAGTGGGCTTAGGCTTACTGTATATGATTTTCTATAATTGCATTTCTCTATAATTGCTTGTTTCTGTAGCTTTGAGATGGAATCAGTTAAAAATGAAGTATGATCGTTATAATTCCGTTGGTAGCGTTGCAGTCGTTTACTATCGTATTTCTCTAAGTGAGAATTGAGCCTTGATCATCTACACTCGGCAAATACCACTTGCTCAGTTTTCATTGGCTTCAACAAACTGCCTTTTGGTCTGACCAATAATATCGAGCCTCCTTTGATACTCCAACTCAGAATTAATAAACAATTTTGACCTTTCAATTATTCCAATTTTATTTTCTCGACAAAGGAATTTTGGGTATCTTTTTCTTCTCATTTTCCTTCATTCGATTATCGAAGCTTCAATTTCTTTCAAATAGAAAGGTAGAATAATTAATCTATCTTTCCTACGGGTTTTGGTATATATTTGGAATTTATATGTGTAATTTTAAAGGATTTTCATTGGAGAAATATGAAGATTTATAATTTGAAGTCCTTTTTTTTTTTTTTTCATTATTTTGTATTTTTATTTGTCTTAAATCAACAAGATTTAGTGAAGTAGCTGATTGGATTCTCGAATTGCATTTGCGATTGTAAGAAATTGATCGTACCTTTCTTTTTATCTCTTACAAGTCCCGATGTTTTTAAAAATGGAATTGTATGAACTTTATGAAGTTTTTCGATAGATGAAGTAGGGTTTCGAACAATCTTACAACTGAGTGAGTACCTTGTGTTGATATTTATTAACAGTAAATAAGAATCATAAAGGAAAAACCGAAAAAGTAACTAAAATGTTGACGCTTTACTTGTTTTTACCAAAGAAAGAGTTTCAGCAGTTTTACATTAATCATATTTGAAGTTAAGAAATTAGAACAGTATACAAAATCAGGACTAGACTCGTTTCAGGGATAGTCTTTGGATTTCTGCTTGCTAAGATGAAGTTGACAAAATTAATTATGTTTACCTGTATTTGCTGTTGGTGGCCATGTGCTCAGGTAGGGAACAGGTAGAGTAGATTTGGAGTCTAAATTGGTATTTACTAGGACTTCAAATGACTTCAGTCAGTTCACCTCAGTGGCAAGAGAAGGCTAGTGATTTCTTTCAATCCTCGGGTAATTTCAGTACATCCTATATTTTTCATAGCAGTCGATATCTATGTATTTTATTTTTGCATGTTCACATGCATCGGATGGAGGTTTAATACCCTTGTATTACTGGAAAGGGGTGAAGCTTAAAGAAGCAGGACAAACTGCTGGAACTTTGGTGGGGGACGTTGCGAAGGATACAAAAGAAAACGTTGCTGATGTTGCAGGGAAAGTTGGGTCGGCTGTCAAAAGCCGGTGGGAGATTCTTCAACACCCGTCTACTAAACATGAGATGCAGGAAAAGCTTATTTCTGCTGCTGCAACTACCAGCATGTTTTTGAGGAAGGGATTTTCGGGGACTAAAGATAAGGTTGCCATGGGGAAGACAAAAGTTGAAGAGGTAATAGAACTGGAGTACTTGATGGTGTTGGATATTATTCAAGATTTATTTCCCTAAATATAAATGGGACTCGCGTTATGGTGTATTAGTCGAACAATAGGATTCAAGAAAGGCAACTTAATTTTTCGTTACTCGAAGTAGGTGGCAATAAATTAACTTAACTGATTTAATATGCAAAAGATATCTGCACATGATAAAAAATTGTAAGTTAAAGTTTTCTGTTTTAGTGTAATTTTGTTATACCATGACCTCTGTATTATATGAGGTTTTGATTTATGGTGAGTGCAGGTTTGCTTTCTTTGTTGTGATAGCTATTGCATGCTGTAATGGTTTGCCTTTTAAGATTTAGTGCCTTTTGAACAATATCTTTTTGACCGTTCACTGATGTGGGGGTGACACATAATTGTATTACATGATATAAATGCAGCACATTTAAATTCTCAAAATGCATGAAGAATGGAAGAAACTTTCTGTATCAGATGCCTTTGCTAAATTAAACCCACAGTCATCTTTAAGTGTTTTTCTTGGGAACATGTCAATTTCTTTTGTTTATTTGGAACTTGGAGAAAGAATTCTATAGCTTCATTCATCTGTATCGAAGAATATCTATTCATGTGCTCCAGAAGAAAATACCAGTCATTGTTATTGTTATTCGGCATATATAGTCTTTGACAGTAAGTATTGTACAGGTCGCCAAGAAGACTGCACAAAAAAGCAAGACCCTCTTGACTGATATTGAGCGATGGCAAAAAGTAAGTGACTTGTGTGGAATCTTTTTTATTAATGTTGCTGAAAATGGACGGTTACTGATTTTTATTTTTCCATTTTCTTCAGGGGGTTGCAAACACTGATGGTATGGTTTCTATTCTTCTGTCATTGCATCGTTTAAGATTCAGTCCAAATAATACAATGGGAGTCAGTTTTTGTTTTGATGGTATTTTACTTCGCTAGTTGCATGCAAGAGTAACAAATAAGAAATTAATAGTTTGATGAATTTTCATATACCCCCTTTTGCACATATATGTTCTGTGAGCCACTCGTGCTTATTGTTTAAAGAATAAATTATATTATGTTGTCCATTAACAATCAGCCTTAGGTATTCCAGCTAAATTTGACTACAGACAAACATTTTATATTTTTCATCTGCAGTCTTTGAAGTTCCAATTGAGCTTACTGTTCAGCGCCAACAGTCCACCAGGCCCATTCCTTGTATACTGGTCAAATGTGCAGATTTTCTTGTATTATCAGGCAAGTTGATAAAAAGAAAATTGTGGAGTGGGGAATCCAAGGGTATACCATTGAAAAACATCCAATGAGATGCTGAGATTGAACTTATACCATTTTGTTGTTTTAGGACTGAACACACAAGAGCTGTTCAAGGCTCAAGGAAACAAAAAGGTTATTAGGCAGTTAGTTTCCCTATATAATCAAGGTACCGTTACAAACATTCAAGCTTGAGTGGACTTCATACTATTTGCATTGCTCGAGTTTACCATGATGTGTTTGTTTTCATGTTCAGACCCAAATGCATCCTTACCAGAGGGTGTAGATCCTGTTAACATTGCAGCTCTTATTAAGTGTTACATTGCGAGCCTTCCTGAGCCATTAACGACCTTTGAACTCTATAGTGATATTAGAAATGCTCGTTCCAGCATGCATGTAATGAGAAATACATTAAAGAGGCTTCCAACAGTTAACTATATGACGCTGGAACTAGTTACTGCACTGCTACTTCGTGTTAGCCAGAAGTCTTTTCTTAACAAGGTAGATTGCATCTCTATCTCACTTGCTCACTCAAGACGCAGTCATTTCCATCATCTGGCTGTTTGTGGATGTGTTAGTTTTTTTT